GTTTCCAAAAGTGACAGAGCCTCCAGATTTGTCGATGAAGGAGGACAGCTGACTTTTATCACCAGTCATGTGCCTGGAGCAACCTGAATCCATATACCATGCTTGCACATGATGGTCCTGCAAGACAAGTTAAGGGTTTTTAGGTACCCATTTCATAATGGGTCCTCATTTGTTAGTCGGAGATACGACCTTTCTCTTTTCATCGGCTCTCTTGGGAGTGGGCTGATTTCCATTACCCTTAGCCTTTGTAGGCTTGGGTCTGTTTGCATTTCCCTTGCCCTTAGGCTTGGGCTTTTTCACGTTTTTACTGGTTTGATCATTATAATGATAGACGTGTTTGGAAAATATGCAGCGACAAGTTAACATGTGGTTCCTTAGGTTTTGTAAAAGAGCTAAACATTGGCAATTAGGATTTTTAGGACATGAATGTCTAACTTTCTTTTTATTCGATGAAAAAGGAGAAGTAAAAGCAGGGGATGAAAATCCTATCCTAGCATCGGTTGTTTTTACAAACTTTCTATCTAGTTCAGATTTTTTATTTGTGGTAGGCTTGGTCTTTACTTCTTTCCTGAGGAAGGGCTTCTTTTTCTTCAGCTGGAGGAGAAGAAAAGTGTTGGTTAGAATGTTCAGAGGCAGACCACTTCTGTTTTTGCGCACGAGTAAACTTAATGAACTTAGATGAAGTAGCTGGGCCTTGTGAGGTATCGTTGGCAGACTTGGTCTTACTCAGTTTTCCTTTTCCTTTGTCTGAAGTTTTTATAGATTCTGGAACATCAGATTTCATTGAGGCCTTGATATTTTGAGGCTTCTTATCCTCAATGACCTCTGGTGATTCGCAGAATATTTCTTCTTCAAATTCAGAGTTAAGAAAGTCTCTCGCGGATTTCTCGAAATCAAAATTCTCATGGATGTTTGCGGGAGGAATGGGTTCAGAGGTTGATGATTCAAAGTGATCTGTTGGGGGTTCCATCGCTTCTGACTTAGATGAACTTTTCAATATCACTTGGATGGTTCATCGATTCATCAAATGACGGTTTCTTACTAAAATTCTCTTTCTCATCAACATCACTTGTTGATGAAGTGGGATTGATAACCAAAGGCTCTGCCATCGGTCTCTAGTGTGGAGGCATCATTCCCTTCATCAGAATTCTTACCTGTGCTGCTCTCGTACACCACATTTTCAAAATCCTGTCTCAAGAGAACAGTTTTTCCATCGACTTCAACCCTTTTGAAATTTGCTTTGGGTTTTGGGAAGAAGTCGGATTTTTGAATGCATCCAAGTTTGAAAGTGGATTCAAGGGTGGATTTCTTTTTTTCGATGAAAGAGTCCAATTCATTGAATCCAATCCCTTGAGTGTCCTTTTGACCGTTAAGTTTTTCGTAGATGTTTTGGGCATCCTTATATTTCTTCATCAGGAGTTCATTGGTTTGAAGCTTCTGATGAAGCATCTCCCTTTCTTTTTGGAAGAAGTCTTTGAGAGCAACTAAGTTGATCCTTTCTGCCTCGGATTCGTTTTAGGCCTTTACCTTCTTTTCTAAGTCCTTAGTTATTTTCTTTTTCAAATCCATAAGCTTTTCTTCATCTGATTTTTTTAGTGAAGCAATGCGAGTCTTTTCTTTAACGAGTTCAACTTTTTCTTCAGTTAGAAGATCAGTTTCTCTTTTGTAAAAACTGACTTCTTTTTCTGCTTTGATTCTTTCAGATTTTTCAAAATTTAATTTTTCTTTAAGCTTCATAAAATCCTCTGAAAGTTTCATCACCCTTAACTCTAGCTCTGATGGAGCAGAGTTGGTTTCATCGATAGAAGACTCACATACCTGTTCATCAGAGTCAGAGACGGATTCTGTATTGGACGTGGCCATGAGACAAATGAGTGCCTTGTCTTCTTCATCAGACGAAGAATTAGACACCCAATTTTCTTTTTCAGCCATCAGGCTCCGCTCATTCGAATTGTACTTGTATTTGTTTTTGTAATAGTCTGCATCTTTCACCAGTCGTCCTCTGCATTCCTTTGAGAAATGACCGATCTTTCTGCATCTGAAGCAGCGAAGGTCATTTTTCCTTCCGTCTCTGTCTTCTCTTATCTCTTCTCTCTCTTCTTTTCCCTCTCTTCTTTCTTCCCTCTGATGGAACTTCATCGACTTCTTTTCATAGGAGGGCTGGAACTTCTCCCTTCTGAAGTCTCTTCGTTCAAATGGCTTCTTGACGAACTTCCTTTGGAACTGTTTCGTTATAAGGGCCAGAAACTTGGCAAAGGCTTTGAGATCATCATCGGAATCGGATGTCTCGTCTTCAGATTCTGACTCTACTACCAGTGCCTTATTGCCTTTTCTCCTATGGGCTCTGGTGGAGGTCCTTGAAACATCCTTTTCTTCTGCAGCAAGAGCAAGAGGTCCACCGATGGACACTTTTCTCTTCATAATATCATTTTCTTGTGCAGCAAGTGTTCCATAGATGTCATGAAGTGACCAGCTGTCTAAGTCATGATTTGCTTGAAGGGACATCGACAGCTGAGTCCACTCCTCGCCGAGACTCTTAAGAAATAACACATTATTATCTTTCTTTGTTCTGGAGATGTCGTTTCGACGACATTGATTGATCAATGTGTTGAAACGATAGTACGTCTTTTGAGTCGGTTCATCAGGAAGAGCCTTGAAGTTGGTGTACTCGTTGAGACATTGAGCTCTTCGATTTTTCTTTGTTTTTGCACCTCCTTCTAGTTGACTTGCCAGCTCGTCCCATAATTCCTTTGTTGTGGTGCATGCGTCGAGGGATTGAAAGATTTCATTGGGAATGGCCATGATAATCAATCTTTTGGCCTTTTTGTCAGCCTCTACGCGCTCCAGGTCATCCTCATCCCAATTTTTCTCGTCCTTGGGCATGTAGTAAGCGGCTACTTCTGCTGTCGTGCTCATTTCTAGGACTCTTGGAACAAGAGTCTGAGGTATGTAGGGACCCTCCATGACAGATCTGAGGAGATTCATGTTCATCCCCTCCAGAAAATTCACCATCCCGATCCTCCATTGTGGATACTCTTCTCTTTGAAGAGTTGGAGGTTTGGTGAGAGAACCAACACTATAAGCAGAATTCCAGTTGGCCAATAAAGATTTGGAAGAGAAAAGTTGCGCGTTTTAGAGAAGATTATTATGAACTCGAGAATGAATGGAAAAAGCGAATTGAGAGTTTTTGATGATCGTTTTGATTGAAGAACAATCAATTAGCTCTGATACCAATTGTTGATCCCAGATCTCTCAATAACACTAATAATTAAGTTAAGAATAACCTAATTATGTTGTGTGGATGAATAAAATGACRAACACTCAAGAACACAAATATGAATATTCAAAGAATATACTTGAGTGCCGGAAGATTCATTTTATTCCAAATGATTGTGAAAAGCGTAACCGATTACAAGAGGCCTAACGCCTATTTATACTAGAAAGCTAAATAAGGAGATAACTATCTAGGAAGAATATCTAGCAAATCTTTTAGGAAAAGTAAAGATTATCTAGACATGGAAAGTAAATAAAGCAAAGTAAATCTTTGTAGAATCCAGCTATCGATTTGTCATCTCCAGTTGTCTTCTATAGGGCATTGTTCAACCATATCTTGATATCTTCTTCATCGTGTTCCTCTGGTTGAGCTGTTGTGAAAGACTCCAAGTGTTGGTAACCAGAGGGGTTATGAAGATGCGCAGTTCATCGCGTCTCTGGTCGTTCATCGGCCTTCTGGTTGTATTGGACACTTAGATTTTGCCTGGAAGTCTTCAATCGGCCTTCTGCTCCTTCACACTTGTTGTTTTTCATTACTTTTACAAATAAGAGTTATGGAGTCTAACAGGAATGTCTATCTTAATTATATCAAATATGCCCTTAACCTAATATACTCTAATCTCATGAAACTTAAGATGACCATCGTCGACCACTTCTCGACCACCACCGACCTGAACCACCGTCGACCACCACCACCGGATTACCACCGATCTGAACCACCGCCGACTACCACCGAACTGAACCACCGTCGACCACCACCATCGATTACCACTGATCTGAACCACCGCCGACTACCACCGGTCTGAACCATCGCCGACCACCACCACCGACTACCACCGATCTGAACCACCGTCGACCACCATCGACTATCATCGATCTGAACCACCGCCGACCACCACCGATCTGAACCACCGTTGACCACCACCACCGCTGACCATCACCACCGACTACTACCAATCTGAACCACTGACTACCACCGATCTGAACCGCCGCCACTACCTATCTGAACCACCGCTGACCACCTCCATCTGAACCAATGTGGACCATCACCTATCTGAACCACCATCGATTTAGTAACGTCGTTAGGCTTGTGATTATATTTGGGTTGTGTATTTTATATTATTTTACATATCAAATAATTATTTTATTAAAGTATTTTTAGTTTTAAAGAAATTAAAATTTTCAAAAAAGGGCATTTTGGTCATTTACCAATATTTTATTCAAATTCTAAAGCTACATTATGTGAACCAAACAAATAGATTCCAATGCCTTAATAGATTTCATTCTAATGTCTGCCAACCAAACATATGGTCAAACCTGACAACATTCCATTCCAATTACTTTAAAGTCAAATTCCTTTAACAGATTTCATTCAATCCAAAAACATTTTGCAAACCAAACACCACCTTAATCAAATCTGATAACATTTCATTTTAATTTTCTTTGACATATTTCATTCATTTATAAATAATTATGTGAACCAAAAGCCCATAATATTCTTTTGGTTATATTTTTGAGATAAATGAGTAAGAAGTGAAACTATCACTATTTTAATTAATTTTTCAAAAATAAAATATATCATTTCGGTGAACCTCGACCGGAATTGTAATTTTGGAACCATTTGCGGCGCCAAACCTTCGATGAAAATACTCCCGCGTTCACTCAGCCTTTTGATTTTCAAATCCATTTCACTTCACCTTCTTCATTTCCCCGTTCCCCTTTGCCGCTGGCTTTTCACAAATCCCAACAATGGAGTCCACCTCTCACCTGCAACGAATGGCCGAAGAACTCAAGTGTCCCATATGGTAATCTCTACAAGCACAAGTGATAATCTCATTGGTTTATTTTTTTGGTTTGTAGCTTAGATAGCCGGATTCTTAAATCTTCTAACCCTAAATCTTTCGTTTTATTTGATGATTTGCAGCCTAAGTCTTCTGAAATCTGCTGTTTCGCTTACGTGCAATCACATATTTTGCAAGTGAGCTCAACATCTTTCTTTCGATTTCTTCTATAATTTATTAGAGTCGTGGGAATAATTCCAGAAGTACTTGATATTTTTTTTCCCGTTCTATCATTTCAGTGTTTGTATCGACAAATCCATGAAGTCTGATGCAACCTGTCCCGTATGCAAAATTCCTTATCGGAGAAGAGGTATTTCTAGGGTTCTTATTTTATACAACTTTTTTTATTAGATCTGTATTAAGATGGGGGCTTAATATTTACAAGGCGTCAACTACTGCCTGATATTGTAGTACTGAAGCGAATCGACAATCGGCAATTCAGTAGTAGAGGAAAGATAGGTCTTTTACCAAAAAAAAATGATTGGTGTGAAGTTGATTCTATTCGGTTGAATTCATGTTTTGGTATACAAGATGCGGCCATGATCTCGATTCTTAAGATTTCCTGGTCGTTGCATGGTGTTTATGTGTTATAATCTGCTACAAGTTGCTCACAGATTTGCTGATATGAGTATATTTTTATATGTTTCTGATTATTCAATCTCTTCCGTTCCAGAGGTTCGTCCCGCTCCTCACATGGATACCTTGGTGAGCATTTACAAGAACATGGAAGTTTGTTCAGGAGTCAACATACTAGTCACTCAAACACAACCTCAAATGTCAGGTATTAGTCTGGTTGTAAGATAAGGTGTAGAACAGCTCAAGGTTGAAATGTTATTAAGATCTGGATGCTTATGCTTGATGTTTATGTAATGGACCCCTTTGAAGTTAAGAGTCCCAAGGGGTTGGCCTAAAGCTAGAGGTCAATCCCTTTGGCCGTTTGCTAGGTGTTATCAACTTTGTTGCTATGTCTAGAAGGCCTTAAATTTTCCCATACCATGTGGAGGTGATGCTTTGCATGTGCATTGGTACTGCCTCATTTAAAACAAGAAGACAATGATTATGCTTGGGAACCATAACAGTTGAACATCTTCAATTAGAAATCAAGTATACATGTGCATAAGTTCAAACATGGGGAATGGGTATGGAGAATGTTGGATGCATTTACATACTTAATATATTAGACATTTACTTGACATGATGATAAAGCTCATAAAACTGCATTTTTCGTGCATTAGCTGTCCATCTGTATTGACACATTACCCACTACTTCTTAAGTGATTAAGACACAAAGTGTCTTGAATCTGTAAACAACCTCCAACTAGTTATTGTACTCTGACTTTGAATGTCACTCAAACCACTTCCATTTTTGAACTTTGTCTGAAACTTTGTATGTATATATCTCCTGATGATCTATTAAAAGCACAAAATGTATGATAAGTAGAAAATGAATTGGTGCTAAAAATGTGAAATGATGATTGACAATTACAAAAATTGGCAAACACAAGGTTGATGTTTAAAGTCAGAGGATGACAACTGATAGATGATGCAGTGGTACTTGACTTAAAAACAAAACAGCTTGATGCAGGATAGATATAAATATTTTGTAGTTATACTTCCAAGACATATGGCAGTACATCTGTCTTATTGCATATCCGTGCTTCATATTTCCCAACCCCTTCACCCTAAAGTGTGCAGAGGTACATGTTACCCAGACTTTGTTGAATCTTTTTTCTTGGTTGTTTAGGTCATGAGAATCAAGTTGAGAATGAAATTGTTTGTAGAAGTAAGACAACCAGCAAAGCTTGCAGAGACACACCGAAGACACAGAACCAGAGAAGAAAAAGAGGGAAAACCTTGACAGGATCTTCAAAGAGGCCCAAAAGTCATAATTCAGATCCTGCGAGACCATCTTTTCCAGTAAAGAAAAGGGTTCAGGTGCCACAGCATCCTCTGCAAGAGACTCCAACGAGACCTGCAAATCTTGAAGGTGGAAAGATTGAATGTATCACAGATAGAACTCAAACAAATGTGTCTGGACCAGAAGATGAACCCCATCTACATGAGAATGGAGAAACATTATTTTCCCCTTTCTTTTGGTTGAGGGATGACGGGGATGCTGAAAGAACAATAGAACCTACACCAGTAGAGCCTGTAAACGATTCACCACCAGATGCTCCATGCTTTAGTGATATTAAGGACTCTGATGATCACATGACGTCAAAGGTAACTTTGCAATTAGTTCGATAAAATTCTATTCTTGGTACATGATAATTGTTACAATGTTGAATTTATCTTCTTATATGGACACATGTTGCTATAAATTATTCTTTCTTCTATTTTCCTACTTTTCTATCAGGGTCAAGTTGGTACATGTTAGATCAGTCGGAAATATGTTTTTGGAACTTGTCAAGTTGAGTCTCAGAATATTGAACTGTTAATTAACCTGTGAATCTTTTTGATAGAAGCTGCACATGTACAGTTGTAGCACCTAATGCCTTCAATTTCAGTTCAGTTTGACAAAGTTGTAGTGACTTTATTAGCCTGCAATGCAAATTAGTCAAATGACAGAAACTATTAGTCCAAATGTCGATACTTATCCTCAATATGTGTTAAAAGTGCTCATGATTGCAGGATGGAGACATTTTCGACAGTGAGATGTTTGAATGGACACAAAGACCTTGCTCTCCAGAGCTTTGTTCAAGTCCATTGAAGTTGCAGGTATTATATTTTGTATATTGCTATAGCATGTCAGAATGAAAGCCTATTCTTTTTGCATATGTTCTACTTATCTCTCTTCACTAATAATCATGCCACTGAATTTTGAATTGGGACATAGGACAAAGAATCTGATGAATGTGACAGAGTCCAAGAGAAGGGGTTCAGAGGCACCTCATTACACTCGGTTATTAATGTTACGGATAGAATTGAGAATGAAGATCACAGTACTGGAGAGGAGACTGATAACATGGAAGAGGTTTTACCCACTTCATCCCCACAGCAAATAAAAAAGGTTAACCATGCAGCTAAAGCTAAAGAGTCCAAGAAGAGAGCTAAAAGGACAAAGGAAAGCATTCAAAAGAAGAGAGTTAAGAGAGACACAGATGAAGCGGTTGGAATTTGTAATGTGTCGCCAAAGATTGATCAGGGTGAAGGCAGCAACACTAACGACTTGGTGAAACAGAAGAAACAGATTCGTAGAAGAGGCAAGAAGGTTTCTGTTGATACTTCATCTACCAAGGCATTGATATCAAAGGTTGCACATGTATGCGATGGAGAAACTTCTGGTCACCGAGATGGGAGTATAGTTGGCCTGACAGACTCTTCTAGTATAAGACAAGGTAGTGGCAACACTCATAATGCCAATAGTTTTGATGAGAACAAAAAGGAGACCACTAATCAACAGCAGATGAATAGGGATAAAAGGTTGAAAACCCTAGGACCAAGTAATAATAGCATTACTGAAATCAACAAGGCTATCTCCCAGTTTCCCAGTGAGCCTTCTCTTGTTGATGGTGAGATAAAAGTTTGCCCTTCCAGGATACAAACCAAAAAAGGTAAAGTTTTCAAGGAATTGAAAACTTCCAAGAAGGTGGCATTTTCTATAAGCAAAGGCTTTAATGGTAAATCATTTGGTGACATTCCAACAACTTCTGAATATGTTGCTACAAAGGGAAACCAACCGCTGGGAGAAGTTCACTCTAGTTCCAAGATAGAATTCAATCCTCATGAGAAGACAAATGCAATGTTCTTACGTAAATGTGACACTCTTTCTTGTATTCGTTGTGCCTTCTGCCAGTCCTCAGAAGAATCAAATGTAAGTTTAGTTTCTATAATCTTCTCATTACCAATTGCTTTGGATTGTTCGTTTGTTATATTTGCTTACTGTCAAGAAGAGGAACTTTCTAATTTGAAGTATAAACAATGCAGATTTCTGGATCCATGACACATTATGTTAAAGGAAAGCCTATAGAGTCAGATCATGAAGGTGTACCACGTGCCATACATGCACATAGGAACTGCACAGAGTGGTAATTATGCCAAACGGCTGTCTTATTCTCTGCAAAAACATGCAAACCTTAGTCTTTTGAAAGCTGATACCTTCGTGCCTTACCATTTTATTGAAGCATATAGATTGTGTGGTGATGGAAAATTTTGTTTTGTAGAACATGCTATATTTGGCATGACTAGGTTGAATATATCCTAAAGCTGCATATTGCTGAATGCTGACAACTTCATAGCTGAGTATAATCTCACATAAATGTTAATTATCGACCTTGAGAAGGCAAATAAAGTAAAACATTGACATGTCTAGTAGCAGTGGTGCTTTCTGAACTTTTATATTATAAGTTATAACATTGTGTTTGCTTCTTTTTGTCGATAGACTGAACTGGGAAATGAATGCAGGGCTCCGAATGTATACTTTGAAGATGATATTGCTGTCAACCTGGAGGCTGAATTGGCTAGAAGCAAGAGGATTAAGTGTTCTTGCTGTGGAATAAAGGGGGCAGCTCTTGGTTGTTATGAAAAGAGTTGTCGCAGGAGCTTTCATTTCACTTGTGCAAAACTAACACCAGAATGCCGATGGGATGATGTGGGTATCATATCTTATGTTTAATAAGAAAATTGATGTCATAAACATGTTTAATTTTTTTTCTTTTTTGGCACAGGATAATTTTGTCATGTTATGCCCTCTTCATGCCTCTCATAAGCTGTCAAATGAAATGTGTGGTTCTCAACTACAAAAGACAAAGAAAAGTGTTCCAAAAAGGTAAGTTATTTTACTCATCTTTCTGAATGATGACCTGGCATACTCAGTTTTGCACTTAAAGATTTGCTTGATTTTCTACAACAGGCATGTTAACATTAAACAATCTCAAGTTCCTGTTAGTGATACTGTCAGCACAACATCTCGTTGGGACTCACATGGAGTATTTACAAAAATTGTTCTCTGTTGTTCAGCTCTCACAAGTATTGAGAAGGTAAAAAAAATAAATGGGTATACATAAGTTGATTGGAATATCCTGTTTTTACTCACTTGCTATCTGTATTATAGGAAACCATTGCAAGGTTTGAGAGTTTATCTGGAGTTACAGTGCTGAAGAAATGGGATTCTAGGGTCAGCCATGTAATTGCATCGGTTGATGAGAATGGGGCATGCAGAAGAACCCTCAAATATTTAATGGGAATTTTAGAGGGCAAGTGGATCCTTACTATTGATTGTAAGCATATTCCTTCATGTATTTGGATAACCACTTTTTTTGATTATTCTTGAGGAGGCCATACAATTTGCGATCAGCTACTTACCATGTTTGTAATCCCTTGCATGTTAAAAGGGATTAAGGCTTGCATGGAGGTCAAGAAACCAGTTGATGAACAGCTCTATGAAATTAATCTCGACATTCATGGATTCAAGGGTGGTCCTAAACTTGGACAGTCTAGGCTATTGAACAAGGTTCTTTCCTGTCAAATCTTTTGAAGAAAAAATTCATCAGTTTATTGTTTTTTGCCTTCCTATGCTCTGCATTACACCCTCAAATGGAGGCAAAATAAATAGTATTGTTAATGAACACTACCTTTTTTGTTCTAATGCCTATATATAGGTGTAAGTTCAAATGAGAACTATAAATATTTGAGAATCGTGAGAACTAGTATATGCATCGATGCATATACACCATAAAAATATGTAGTTGTCAATTAATATAGTCATCAATGTTTACATACTATATATACAAGTATATTTGCATTAATGAATACACTAGCTCTTACGGTTCTCTATTCTATTTATGGCTCACATTTGAACCTTCCCCAATACGATGTGTGTGTGTGCATATATATATACATATATATATATATATATATATCTGATGTTGGCTTATTTACCTGCAATCTTGTTTACAGGAACAGAAACTTTTTAATGCATTCAAGTTCTATTTTACTGGAGATTTTGTGGCTTCATATAAGGGATATCTGCATGACCTTATAATTGCTGCTGGAGGCACAGTGCTACACAGGAAGCCAATACCAATAAATCATGAACCACAATTTTCTGAGGACATAAATGCAAAGCAGTTCATAATTTACAACCTCGAGCTTCCTGATAAGTTCAAAGCAGAAGAAAGAAACCTGATTCTGAGCCAGAGAAAGTCTGATGCAGAGGCTTTAGCAAGATCAAGTGGTGCTGTAGCTGCAAGCAACTCATGGATCTTGAACTCCATTGCTGCTTGTAAGTTGCAAAACCTTGACTAGATAATTATTTTTTTTGATTCAATCTGCTTATCGGAAACATGTATAGAATATAATAATGCTTGAATTTATATCTAACTTTGATATTTTAGCAAAGTGTTGGGACTTTTTTATATATCAACCATTATGGAAATCATAAATTTGTTCCCTTTGTTTGAACTTGTTCTTGCTAATCACCAAACCAAACAACCCAGTAAGTCCCACCATGAGCCAGGGTCTGGGGAGGGTAAGAGCATCTCAGACGACTTCTTCAAGTTGGAGAAAAAGAAGATTTTGGAGTTTTTATACTCTTTTTTGCTCCAACTTCTCCAAAACTTGGAACCATCCTTTTTGTGAGTATTTATTCATTATGAATGTTTATCATGACATTCATCACGAATATTTTAATATTTTATCATGTTATTCATCATGAATACTCACAAAAGGGTGGTTCCTTGGTTTCTAAAATATTTAAGTTTCCTAAACGAACATTTTTCTATTTATATAATATAACTAATGTTGGAATCTTTACATTGGAGAACTTTTGGAGTTCAGTGTCATTTATTTAAGAGATTTTGATTTTTGCTTCACTATTTTGGAGAAATTATGGAGAAACCATTATCCTGAGGGGTAAAGAGGTTGTTTCTGTAAATACCCCGAAAGAGAATATTTGAGTTTTTACATTATATTTGATAAGGGACAGTACACAAGCTACAAAACTGATCATTCCTATACAGACGTTACAATTGATTCCCTTTTATTAGAACTTACATATAAGAGCATTGTGTTTTTCTTTGTATTCTATATTTGTGTCTCTGATAATCTAAAACTACCCCTCAAGAAATAACAGTTTTACATGAACTGATCTTGCTATTTGGGTGAACGGTTTCACCACTCTTTTTTCCATGCTTTCTTTCATTCAATTCGAAACATTTGAACATATGCTCTAATTCTGAAATCCCTTCTTCAATATCTACGATTTCATCGCTTTCTGTCGTCGAATGTTGTCTATAGCTTCGAATCTTCTCTAGACTTTGACTGACTTTGACTCCCATTTCCTCCATTGTTGCCTGCATTGCCATATTCTCTTCGTGCACGTCTTTTAACTTCCTCTTCATTGATCTATATTCATCGAGCGATTTCAATAATTGTTTCGATAATGACTTGTTACGCTCCTGAAGTTCCATGTTTCCTTGTGTTTCTTTCTCTTCATCTTTGTGCATTTCTGCACATTCCTGCACTTTTTCTAGTAAAGTCTCGTTCTGTGCTTTCAAGTCGTTGATGTGTTCCTCCATTTCCGCTAATTCGTGTGCTTTTTTCGCTAATTCTCCCATCATTATCTCCTTTTCTTTTCCCAAACCCGAGCACATGATTTCAAGACTTTTTCGTGCAGCCAAGCTTGCACTGAGCTCTCTTCTTAGCTTCTCTTTCTCGTCAATCATTATTGGGTCGCTTAATCGTTTGTCTTTTGGGCTCTGGGCTGGACTCACTTTTAGAAGCTCGGATCTTTTGGTGCCAAAAGATTGACATTTTTGAATCCTGGTTCGAACCATTTCAAGGATGGTCATCATTCCAGCCACCCTTAACATTCTTCTTCCATCATTTCTCTGTGTTTTACAGGCATTCTTGTGATCTTGAATCAATTTCAATAGTAACTTCACATTTGCAGCAACACCTAATGTATAACACAATCAACAACACAACACAACAACACAAAAGACCAACACCGTCATTAAGCATCTGTATGCAACTTCTTCTCTACAGGTTTCATAATTTTTATTTACACCCCCTTTGATATTCCTTTTGCTATGTCATTTTTCTGTTTTTTGGTAATTGTGGGTGTTTTGAAGATAACAGTTAGGAAAATCCTTTACTAGAATTGCACATTAATTGGTCTTTCCTTTAACTGGGTCGGTCCTTGGCCAAAAAGTTTGGACCAAATCCTCACCGATGATCCTAATCGGATTTGTTTTTATTTCTTAAATAATAAATAAATATAAAAGAATGAAAATGACCGTCAAGTGAGCAGTGACAAATCTTGGAAATGGGAAAATGACAGTTTTTCTTACACTTATTGTTTTCGGTCCATGATCGGTTTAAATTGATCCAATTTAGAAACAATGATCATATTTGGTCCTTGGTACTTGGTAGGATCAGTTTTTGGTTAGCCATTTAATCGGTTAGCATGCCATGTTGTATTCAGACTTTTCTTTAACCCATCCTAATCAAGGCCTGAATTGAACTTGGGTTGGGATAGACCCTTAACCCATCATTTTATGGACCGGTCCAAAATCGGTTAACCAGTTGTTTGTATGTATCTAGCTGTGATTGACAACCTAATGGAAGGAGTCTCAACCTTTTTACATTTATTTCCAAGTGGAACTGACCTTCAAGATTACATCTTCCATTTTCTTTATCTTCTAGACCCAACATCTACACCATATCTGCCTTTTCGGTTTCCCTTTACTTGCATCATTTTGTTCGGTTTATCGACATACATGCATATATATATATATATATATATATATATATATATATATAAATGTTGTTAAATAGGAAAGGGAAAGAAGAAGATTGATTTACCTTCTAAAGCTGCATCATCATAAGTATTTTCTGTATGTATTCCAACTAATTGTGGAGGTCTTTTATCCCTAAACTTACTCATAATATCCACATAAAGGTGATTTGAGAAGGATAAGAGGAAAGAATTGAAGAGAGGGTTGGGTGAAAATGGTGGTTTGGTTTTCTTTTCCCTCTCTTTTTTAGTTTCTTCTTATTTCTCAAAGACCAGCCCTTTTTCTTTTCCTTGAGAATTTGTTTATTGTTTCATGTTTCAATCACTTTTGTGGTAATTGCTATTGTGGTTAATGGTTGGTTCATGCATTCTCTTTTTCCCTATTTCATTGCTATTTTTTTTGACTTTTTCTTTCTTATTAAAACAAGGGTAAAGTTCGGTTTTGGTCTCTGATGTTTGTCACTTGTGACGGAATTGGTCCAAATTAGCAAATTTTTATTTATTACACGGTTATTGTGACATCTTTGACCAACTGTACTAGATTTCGTTTGTTTTATCCATACTTGGAGTCAGGGTTTTAAACACGTTTGATAGAGCAGATATCTAGTTTCTCTTATAACTCAACATTTATTGCTATCTTCAACCGATGTGAGATCTCATTTTTTTCAAAGTTTTCAAAATTGCTTGGTTGTCGTTCTCGTTTCAATCAAATGAGGATATTTTGGTGTTTTTCTTTATTTTCTATTTAGATTTATATTTTATTATAATAACGGGTAACTGGAATTGGGAGGAAAAACTTAATGTTTGGTAGCGAGAGGGATGAAATTGGAGCGATTTTGCAAACGCTAAAGATAAAAGCAAACAATTGATGATTGGGGACTAATTTCATTACAAGTGACAAACATTAGGGACTATAATCGAAATTTACCCTTGTTTTAATTTACAAAAGAGAAGAAATCAAAGAAAGAGCAACGGAGTAGGGAAAACAGTCCATGAACCAACCATTTCACAATGACAATGCCCACAAAAGAAAGTAATTGAACCAACCATTTCACAATGACAATGCCCACAAAAGAAAGTAATTGAACCAACCATACAAAACATACTACTCATGATGAGGCTTTAGAAGGTAATCAATTTCCATTATTTATCAATTTTCTTCATTCTTATTTAAACCCTCTTTATATAAGTATACATTTACATATATGTATATGTGATTCGTAGCCCACATGACAGAAAGTTGTATATCGTTGTAGATTTGTCAATTTTGGTTCAAAAAACTAGCTAGCTTTACAAGACCAAAAACAGGTTCATATTAATCCAAGTCTTGGCAAATGTAACACTTCCAAACACCACATTTGTATATAACACATATTTTATTACATAAAAATACATTTTACACCACAATGGTCCCTCTAGTACAAAGATTCTTATATGTACAAAATCTACATATGAAAAATTCCAAAATAATCTTGTACTAACACATGTATAACAACATGTATCTTCCCAAAACAAGCAATCTCATGTAGATCTTCAAAATTAGATATCAGATTAGGAAAATCATTACATTTTCCCTTTCCCTTTACTATCCCTTACCCCCGCCGTTCCTGCATTGCATATTTTTAAATAAAAAATGAGAGTTAGACCAGAAAGGTCTAGTGAATAAATCCCTTCTTTGCAAATGCAGGGCGATAAACACCAAAATATAATAGAGTATCTTTGCTCAAAATATTTGCATTTCAACCAAACAATGCAGTCTTCAATGATACGAATAACATGATAAACTTAATAACATCAATTCCTATTATAAAATGCATTTACTTAAAGATCTAACGTTCCCAATATGAAATTATTATGACCATAGTCTTTTTGATTCATCAGACTATTTCTTTGTAAATATTAATGGAAAGATTTACGGCAATACTTGCCCTTTGTGACAAATCATTTTCTCCTTCTCAATAACATCTAAATTATTATTTCTAATAGAAATAATATCTCTAATTCATCAGGTCACAAAGAAATGATGACTCAAAGTTATTAAATCCAACTAATAATAATAATAAGAGTTATAATAATAATAATATCCACATATGACAATGCCTCCCTTATTCCAAGTACACATCTCCTTGATATGCCACTCTTGTTCCTCCAATAAAAAAGGGTTACTTATCAGAATAGACAAAAGTCACCACGTTTGAAAGTACTCATTCCCAGTTCCAAGCCAGAACAGACAAAAGTCACCACGTCTGGGGAACTACACTTAAAACAAGTTTCATACCAAAACAGACATACGTTACCACGCTTGGTAGAAACAGTTTACAAAATCCAATTCCGTACCAAAACAGACATACGTCACCACGCTTGGTAGGAATGTTTTCCAAAATATAGTTTTATAACAAAACAGACATACGTCATCACGCTTGGTAGAAACATTTCCAAAAATCCATAATTAAACCCAATAATAGACATTATTAAATTATATAAATGTCTAAAATGCTCAACACTTGAAAATTTATCAAATATAAGTCACCCGGATAAGTTATCCGTATAAACAATCCGGACAACACTGTCCCTTTGTCCGATGTACAAATCTGGAAAACACTTGGCCGATTTATAAATCCGGTCAACATAAGCCTTTGTCCGATATATTAATTCGGACAACACTTGGCTGATTTAAAACTAATCCGCACGACTCTTAAGTGATTTAAGACTAAACCGCACAATGCTTAGTTGTATTCCTACTTCTCTGTTCAAAACCTTTGTCCGGTTTACATAATTCAAATTCTCACTAACACCCTAAATCGCACAACACTTGATCGGTTTACAGTTAAATCGGATAACACGTGTCCGGTTTAAAAGTAATCCGGACAACACTATGTCCGGTTTATACTTAATCCGATCACTCCTTGTCCGGATAAGATCCAAATCGCACAAAACTAATTTTGAAGATAATAAGCAGTTCTTTCTAAAACAATAATCAAAGCTTTAAAAAGAGAACTTTTAGAAATTACTCACCTTATTAGAATTTTTCTCAGTTTTGAAGAAGATTGCAAAACCTATTGAATATCCGAACAACACTTCTCAATTGCTCTCAATTTTCTAAACAAGGCAAGAAACTTTGCCTGATATCCCTTCCTTTATATTTATACTTTCCCGTATATGGAAAGTCGGCTACCAGCCTTTACCCATATACATGCATACATAATTAAAACCCCTCCCCCATGCATGTATATAAAGATCCATGCACACACACACACACACACACACACATATATATATATACCCACATATTATGCATATATTCCTATGCATAAAATACACATATTCACATATTAAATTTACGTAAGCATGTACTCATGTAATCAATTAATTCACATAATGAATACCTTGGGTAATAACCAGGACCCGGTTATCACATTATCCACCCTTCAAAAGAATTCCGTCCTGGAATTCCTTTAATCAAAGAGCCATGGATAATCTGCTCTCATTTCTGATTCAAATTCCCAAGTTGTTTCTGTTCCTTTGTGAAACTTCCACCGTACTTTAACCAAACTGATTTCTTTGTCTCTCAACACCCTGCTTTTTCGATCAATCACAGCGTCTGGTGTTTTCATAAAGTTCAGCTTACTGTCTAGTTTGATTTCTGGTAGCGGTACAGTGAGACTCGAATCATCTAAGCATTTCCGTAAATTCGATACATGAAAAGTGTTATGAATCAGACTAAGCTCTAACTGACAAGCCAGCAGTCCAATTCTTTTACATATTCTGAATGGCCCAACATATCTCGGACCGAGCTTACCTTTTTTCCCAAATCTGACAATACCTTTCCATGAAGAAACTCTTAACATCACAAAATCACCCACACAAAACTCAATCGGCTTTCGACGATTATCGGCATAACTTTTCTGGCGTCTTGTGCTGCTTTGATTCTTTCACGGATCTGTTCAATCTTTTCAGAAGTCTCTTGAACAATTTTAGGACCCGTCAATTGTTTTTCTCCTACCTCCTTCCAACACAACGATGTTCGACATTTTCATTCATACAGTACTTCATACGGTGCCGCTTGAATGCTGGAATGGTAACTATTATTATACGCAAACTCTATCATTGACAAATGATCTTCCCATGATCCTCCGAGGTCTATGACACAACTTCTCAACATATCCTCAAGAGTCTGGATAGTCCTTTCACTCTGCCCATCAGTTTGCGGATGATAAGCCGTGCTTAGTCGAATTTCAGATCCCAAAGCTTTCTACAAACTTTCCCAGAACTTTGAAGTGAAACGACTACCCTATCAGAGATAATAGATAGTGGAACTCCGTGTCTGGTTACAATTTCCTTGATATAAATTTGTGCCAGCTTTTCTAGAGAATATCCCTCTCTTATAGGTAGAAAATGTGTAGATTTAGACAGACGATCGACAATTACCCAGATTGCATCATACCTTTTTGGAGTTCTAGGTAATTTCATGATGAAATCCATTGTAATGTGATCCTATTTTCACACAGGAGTTTCCAAAGATTGAAGACTCCCATATGGCTTTTGATGCTCAATCTTTACCTGTAGACACGTTAAACACTGTTCCACATATTTAGCTATATCTTTCTTTAATCCGGGCCACCAATAACAAGGTTTCAAATCTTGATACATCTTATTGGTACATGGATGAACAGAATAACGGGACTTATGGCTTTCATTCAAAATAATTTTCCGGATATCCCCAAAACTTGGTACCCAAATTCGCCTTGAAAGCACATAATTTCTTTGTCATTTGGTTCCAAAGTTGAAATTATTTTACCCAACCTTTCTGATTTGACAAGATCTTCTTTCATAGCTTCTTTCTGACATCTTAGAATTAATTTATTTATATAAGGGACTAATCTTATTCTTAGTGCCACAGTTTCAATAGTCCCACTCCTTTCTTTCCTACTTAAAGCGTCAGCTACCACGTTGGCTTTCCCTGGGTGGTAGAGGATTTCACAATCATAATCATTAACAAGTTCAATCCACCGACACTGTCGCATATTTAATTCTTTCTGGTTGAACAGATGCTGAAGACTTTTGTGATCTGTGTAAATCTGACACTTTGTCCCCAAAAGATAACGCCTCCAGATTTTTAGAGCAAATACCACCGCAACTAATTCCATATC